TGAAACTAATTGAGCTTGCAGTTAACAGATATATCCAGGCCCAAAGGTCACAAGGTCGCGAAAAATAAAACTATCTAAGATTAAAGCATGCAGAGCAAATAAGATTGAAATACTCAATTAATATTAAAGTAAATGATAGTGATATAAACATATTACCGGGAATTGCCAGTGCCTGATTAAATAAGTAATCTTTCATATAGTTTTATTGATTAATTGGAAAAGTCTATTTTAAAAAGATTTATTTCCCAAAAAAATACAATGTTTATAACCGAGCTAATCTTAAGTTGATTTAATGGACTTAACGTAACATGGATCTCATTAACTGACTTAACGTAACTTGAAGTACCTAGGCTACTGAAAGTGCAAGCTTAGTGTATAGGGACCGATGGTCGGTATTTAACGTAACCGCTTACTAAACCGCGTTCCAGGCGCGTAACATGGAACCGCAGTTTCAGAAAGCTGATTTAACCTGTTTTTTACGCAACGGTACGGAGCCGTACCACCAGCACAGAACCGATACGACACCTCGAAACCCGGTATTACTTTTAATGTTATTTTGGCACGTATAGTGTGGGCCTAGTTATAACGCAAATTTGGTTTTGTTGCATTTGTTGAGATCACGTAACATTTATTACTAAATCTATTATCCAGTAAGATCTGAGAAAATATAGGTAAGCTTTAAAATTGGTTTCATTATGGAGGAAAGTAAGCGACGGGAGACAAGTTATTTATGGGGTTATTTCACGGTAAAGACGAACCAGAAAATTTGCCAGTGCGATATTTGCAAGCAAATATTATGCTTTAAGTCCACATTATATAATTTCAAATGATACATGGAACGAAGAAATTGAACTTATTGGCACATTCAAAAATTATTAACAGATAATATTAAAGTAAATCTGAGCTCAACCCTGTCCCAACCACATCACAAAACTGCATATTCTGTACTACCGGTTTCGGTCACGTATGGTAGTTTTAGAGAACTTACTAGCTGCATATCATCTGAATTTTTTTTAATCTTAAATACCAGTTAAATTTTAACTGAAAATAAGGTTTTATATCTGCATGTAAAACGTTTATTTTATTTTATCTTTTCTGTTTTAATATCAGTTATTTTATTCATACAAGTACATACCTCTGACCTATCATTTGTTTTATGAATATATTATTTTCAGCTTGCCAATGTTAAAAACTATTATTTTTAATAAACGAAATTATTATTTATTATCACTACTTCTGCCATCATCAACATCCTTGCGCATTTGGTTCTTTTATTGAGAAATTGAGAACAGCCATTGTCATGGTTAATGATCGGTAACAATTCTGAATTTTTGTCCGAAAAGATAGGGTCTGAAATATTTTGTTCCATAAACAATTGCTAATAATTGCTTATTTATAGATTAGTAATTGCATTACACTGGTATAGGTAGGGCTTATTTATTTATAATACTAGATAGATGGGAAAGAAGAGCAACTTCGAGCATTATCTGGGAAATAATCACAAATTTAATGGATTATTATTTCAATACGGTGCTCAATATTTGGGTACAAATTACAAACTTAATATAATCCTTTGATACTTTGGATCTATTTTCTAATTTTCTTCCTTCCACTGGATGATTTTAAATTGTATCCTCACCTGCCAATGTACTTGTAGTTATCAGCCATTGTAGGCTCTACTACCGATAGAGAAATAAAGAACAGCAAAGCAGAAACTGATTAAAGACATTGTTCATAAAGTAGAAATAAATATGCTTCCAGTTCCTACAAATATCCATGTCTAAAGGTCAGCAGGCTCTTGATCAAATAAAGTAATCAGCCAATCAATTTAAATAATCTTCTTCAACGTGTCAATTAATGACAAATTATATGATGATGTGATGAAACCGTTTCGTGCCTACTGAAAAATTAATCCTAATTAATTGATGAAATAAAATGGTTGATTTCCAATTTTTGATAACTGAAAATATTTATAGTAATAACCACCACATTACCATGATTATGTCTAAACACACGATGTTCCTTAATGCGCCTGAACACAATGCAGATAGTAGTTAAATAATCATCATATCACTTAAATAAGTCGATTGGTTACATAAAAAAAATTTTTGTTACTTTATATTAATATTTGTCCAACATTTTCGTTTGCCGATTTATTTGCAAACAACTGCTATTCTTGTTCATGTGATGTAAAACTCATTCAGAAATGAGTAAGTTCAATATTTATTTGAGATTGTAATTGTAATTGTTTGATAAATAAATAGTCTATTGACTTGATGCCAACAAAACACTATACATATTTGAAATGTTACTAGAGAGTGGTAAAAAATACAAATAATCACAAAAATATTTCAGGCTTGTTTATGTAAAAAATTATCAATCACTGCGCTCTTGGCAGATGTAACCAGCTTTTTGACTACAGTCTCTGTCATTCCATTTATAAGAATTTTCACAATACATAAAAAATTCTATACAATTCTCATTATTTCCCGCATTGTCCGGTTGTTTGTCTGCAAATCTAGTGTACACTAACGGCTTGCCACTGGTGAACCATACAAACGAATTGCCATTGAAGCGTGTTCCAGAAGTCCAATATCCATTTGAAAAACCCTCTGCAGATAGAAACATGTAAATTAATCATAGATCATTAGAACGAGGGTCGTTTGCAATAACGGCTGATAATAAATAAGTCAGTGACTAGATAACTGTTAAATAATCGGTTAAGAAAAGTGAAATTATAATAGTTGCATAAAATAAGTCATAGAATTAATGTGAAAAGTATCTCGAATATTTCGGTAAATTACCTAATTAATTATATATAATTTAGTTATACATGAATGCTCATTTATGCAACTTATTATGAGCAATATTTGGGATGTTACTCACGTTTAGTAGGATAAGCAGACAAAGCATCGGCTACTGCATTCTGTTCTTCTGCAGATGTTATCGAAACCAACTCCATTCCACTCTGTTTACATAATACGAATGCATCTTTCCATGGAACCGCTACAGTACTTATAACATACTTGAAGTTTGACTGCCCCACTAGAAGAATAAATTGTCCAAAAAACTAATTAATCAAAAAAATTTACATTTGAAGTAGTCGTTATAAACAATAAATTAACTTGAAATTGTGTTGATTCAAATTGCGATACTTTGAAATAACATGACACGTTTCTAGATATTATTTTAACGTAGGTACGAACTGACTGATAATTTAATCCACTTTGAAAATTAAATCTTAAAACAATACAATGACATATTTAGTGGCACACGGAATTGAGACTGATTCTCAAAATAATCAGAGAGCTAATTTTTGAAAGCTTATTTCGCCTACTATGGAGCAGAAATATAATWTAATATSKGKTCMTTAATGTAATGAAATGTTACCAGTCAACTGAAAAGGAAATAATACCGTAAAAAGTTATTCCAMATTTGATATAGAAGCAWTTTTGTAGCTGTTTTCAAATCGTWYTGATGRTARTGTRKCTSRACYAGTKAAGTTAGTASAATGGGTTMAAAGCTAACTCTACATCGTTCTGCTTTGCAMAAATTATACCAAATGTGTAAAGAAATATCGAAAAAAATTGTAAAAAAGCACCAACACGTAGAAGAGAATTTATATAAACAGCTAWTWTAATTKATCAYTRMTGTTRAGWAAGTRGTAGTTTCAATGTAATAGTTAACACTTGTTAGGTCAGYTTTGCTTTTGARCTCGTCAATTCATTAAAAGAAAAAAACAACTGAGTCATCCAATATACGAGAGTCGTTTGTGACTTTTTGAGTTAATGYTTTTTTCCGCCAAACAASGTTTTATTTCTCAACGTAATCTCCTTAGCTTGATACATTTAGTCCAGCGTTTTTCCAATTTTCTTATCCCTTCCAAATAATAAAATTTCTCGARGCCCTCTARATATGTGTTTGTTTTAATGATGACCTCTTCATTGGACAGAAATCTCTCACCACTCAGCCATTWATTCAGGTTTGGAAACAKGAAATWGTCACAGGGGGATAAATCTGGAGAATATGCTGGGTGGGATAGCAGTGCGTACCCTAATTCATGAGTTTTTGCCATGGCGACTACACATGTGTGCACCCGTGCATTSTCCTSATGAAWMAGAAMTTTCTTWTCGCCAAATGCTGCCGTTTTAGTTTCAAGTCAACATCGAATTTGTCCAAAAGCTCCATTCGACAGATGCAGCCAAATTTTTCAGGGAGGCCATTTTCAACAAACGAAAAAACATTTCTGGACGGATCATAATCCACACGTGGTTTATCAGATATCACTTCAAGAAAGATTCAGCATCAATATTTTTTCCCCATAAAGGATAATCAAATAAAGTTTACCTTTATGAAGAATCGTTAAATTCATAAAAGTACCTCCAAATTCTAAGGACAGTGGTAAGCGATTTTTTAGAAAATCTGAAATTAGAAGAGTACCGCACATGTTGGTTTCAACTGGATGGAGCATCGGCTCATAGCATTCAGGAGGTAACCAGGGAGCTCTTCGAAATATTTGATGACTGCTCGTTTAGACGCCGCCTGCAAGATCTCCCGATCTTACGCCGCCGGACTTTTTCTTATGGGGTAAATTAAAAGACAATGTTTTCAAGACGCCGGTCAACAACATAGGGGAATTGCGTTGGGAATTGGAATCCACTGCATTGGAGAATTTGATGTTGATGAGTTACCATTAGCCACAAACCACTCTGTAAATGTTCAAATTTTGAAGTACTTGGAAAGCAATGGCCGWCTCTTCGAAAATTTATTGTAAATAATTTTAAAGTATTTATTAGGCACCTTTTTTTGAGTCTCAGTTATGTGTTTGCTTACATTTTTCAATCCAGTTTTATATCGTAAATAATTATGTAAATTGTTTTATATTCGTGCAAACTTCTTTGCATTCATTTRYTTTAAATTAGRAAATATTTYGTTGAATTTTCTGCATGTCCTTGCAAYAATTTGGTCACATTGTCCGTCAAGAATAAATAGGTTTATTAAAACTTCGTTTGAATAATTGTTTCACTCAATTTTGTATAAAAAGCGTACAGAAGCTCTATCCATGAGCTGACAACTAGTTTGAAGAATTGCAAAATCTTCAACTATTATCACATTTCATGGCTATTTTGACAAATACGTCGACATAATCGAATTTTTGCAAAAATGTCCATTTATTTCGGAAATTTGACGCTTTAGGAATAGAAACAGATATATCGTTTCACAGCGAATCTAACGGTCTTCCCGGATTTGAACTAATATACAGGGTGTTCTATTTGAAAAAATGTAATTGTAGCAGTTTTTATCTTTAGCCGAAAGGTAAGTATTTTCAAGACATCCTGTATACTTTGGAACAACTTGATGTACACCGGGCTCAAGCATAGGGTTTTCTTAACCCTATGCGTTTAACGTACTTAAATTTTAAATTTCCAGGGATCGAAATCGAAATTGTAATACAGGATTCCTTGGGGCTACGTTTTGATTAAAAATAATAAATTTTATTTAATACTTCGGAAACAGCTTTAGATAGATGTATAAATCGTTATGCAAAAAGAATCAAATCTATAATGCCAATCTAACCGTGCAACAATACATATACAGGGTGTCTCATTTAAAATATCAAAGTTCTATGTACTTTTCGGTATAAGCGGCAACCTCGCATTGCTGAAAATATTTTAGGGCGATAGAGCATATCCGATGACTTCGTTGTACAAATTTGCAGATAGATAGGGCATCGCGTTCTCCTCAAACGTCTAATACGCCATCGACCGTGAATCACCCTGTATATTAATCCGGTTTCAATATTTCCAATTGTCAATGTATTTGTAACGAATTACAAAAATACATGTTTGATGCCTTTTAAATCAATGCTATTCTTAATCATGTGATTTAAAACCCATGCAGTGAGTGAGTATGTTCTATATTTATTTTGTATTTTATAAATAAATATTCTATTTAGTTAACGCGAGGATAGCATTATAAATATTTAAAATTTTACGGTAAACTGGTAAAAATTAAAAATATACAAACAATATCCCTGTTTTAGGTATGTAAAAAGTATCAAACACTGCGCTCTTGGCAGATGTAACCAGCTTTTTCACCACAGTCTCTGTCATTCCATTTATAAGAGTTTTCACACAACGTAAAAATTTCCATACAATTCTCATTATTTCCCGCATTGTCCGGTTGATTGTCTGCAAATTGATTGTACACTAGCGGTTTGCCACTGGTGAACCATACAAACGAATTCCCATTGAAGCGTGTACCAGAAGTCCAATATCCTTTTGAAAAACCATCTGCAGACAAAAACCTTGTTATTTGTAATGTATAAATTATCCAAGTTTACTATGTAAGTATATAACTTTTATGTAAGGGTATTAACTTATTAATAACTTTATGTAACTTAGCAAACCGCCTGCAGTGCAACGACTCTCGTGGCTACGGCCTCGGGATAGGTACTGTAGGGGGAGCGGGGATCTTGGTTTTACTACCCGGATCGCGTGACGAGGTCACTATAACACCTCCCAATTCTCACGGTATAGTGCGCGCCAAGAGATGCAAGGCTGGGGGGAAGCCCAGCCAAAAGAGACTAACCTTGAGGCAACAGGCGCACCTCATTGTATCAGCCTTACCCACACATGCGGCGCTCTGTCTGGATGGATCTAACCCTTCCCTAGCTACTCGTAGGAATGATGGGGAGAAAAGCACCACCACAATCATACACCACAACACCACAAAATACCGGCGGGACCTCCTCAGAAGAACCGTGGGGCTCCGCAGCTGGTAAAGTACCGAAGGGTGGTAAAAAACTCTAGGGGGTCGCCAGGCGGAAAAACCACCAAAAGACCTAAGTGCTAGGTAGACCCTCAGGGGAACCAGCACACCACAAAAAAGCTGCCATGACCGGGACGCAAAGGCGACACCGGCCGGGATGGAAGCACACCCAACAAGCCAGCACCTGGGCGGCTCTATGTGGAAACTTCCGTATAGGAAGGAACCACACACGAGTCGTGCAAGGTTGCGGTTTCCGGGATTAAGATTGCCATATCGGTGGTCGGATATCCCGAGAAGAACTTTTCTCCTCAGCAGGGAGAACTCATAAAGAAGCACCTGCTTGGGAAAATCGACGAGCTGCAGCCAGGGATGACTACCAGACCAGGTCATGCGTTGTACTCCCCCCCCCAAGATTCTTCTGGAATTCATTGAATACACAGGGATAATGAGGGAGTAAAACACGAGGGCACAATAGGGCAGAAATGACCGCGGTGCATCACCTCGGTGGTGAGGAACGGGTTTTAGTGGGTAAACGGTTAGCTGGAGTCCCACACAACCCAGAGCGACAGACCACCAGCTCTGGAAGTGCATAAAAGAGCATTTCCCAAACCTCACCGGAAAAAAAAATCTCAAAACCGAAGGTCTTCATATACCGGGTGTCAATTTGAAAACTTCCTACCTTTAATATCTTTCTTGCAGTTGAAAATATGAAAAATCGGAAAAACCTGTCAATTTTATTTGTAAAGGGGACATTTTAAATTAATATTTTTCGACTCCTTGTTTCAACCCCCTAGAACGGGTAGATGTCTCGCTTTTCATAAATCATCTACGGTTTAGCATATATCCGTGTATGAGTAGTTGTTGCAGAGTGAAGTTTATTTTGAAATTCAGTACACTTGGTAATTTAATAATTAGCAACTTGGCAAGAAAAGACTGATTTTTCTGAATAGATATTGCAACGGTTGAAAATTTATTCAATAGGAAAGTCTAATAGTGGGAACCAACTAATCGAAATTTTGCACGCAGCCTTTGATGATGTAAAAAACAATATGAAAATTATTATTTATTATTAAGTATTATTATAGTATAAAATTAGGCGTTCCAGAAAGTGGGGTGGTCACAATGAGCAGTTTTAAGAAACATCACACTGTTATTGCGCTTTCATTAAAATTATATTTTTACGCTACTAATACGACTTGGTAAGTGTAAATCTCGGACATTTCATGAACCGTTCAAGGAAAATTAAATAATGAGTTCAGCTTAAAATAAGTTAATATGCAAAGTTTATCGAATATCTCGATATTTTGTATTTTTTTTTGTATCTCGATATCTCGGTGTTCAATATTTTGAACAAACATTATTGCATTCTCTCTCATAAAAACAGCAGTTCAGTTATATATAAGTTGCTCATAAGAACTCTTATACTCAGGTTATTGTGCGAAATATTTGGGATGTAACTTACGTTGAGGAGGATAGGAAGACAATGCTTCCGCTACTGCATTCTGTTCTTTTGCGGATGTTATCGAGACCAACTCCATTCCACTCTGTTCACATAACACGAATGCGTCTTTCCATGAAACCGCTAGAGTACTTACAACATAGTTGACATTTGACTGCTCCACTAGAAGAAAAAACTGGATAAAAAACTAATTAATAAGAGATCGAATGAACTATTTCTGGTAGTCATCGCAAAAAATAAATTATTAACTTGAAATTGTCCCGATTTCATTCGTGATACCTTGAAATAACATGACAAATTCCTACATATTTTATCCCACTTTGGGAATTAAGTCTTATTACTTAATACAATACAAAGCCATAAATAGTGAAGCATGAAATTTAGACTGATTCATAAAATCAGTATACCAATTTTTGAAAGCTCATTGCACCTACTAACTGCTACTAAAGGAATTCAGTTAATACTCGAACAGAAAAGTAATTTTTGAGCATTAAATAAAATAATCGCCAATTTTAATAAGTATAACTGCCTACAACAATTATACTTACCTGGCAGTGTAGCTCTGCCAATGATACATTCAATGGCACAGATAAGGAAAAGTAAAGCAGACAATATTTTAATTGGCATTATTGCTGGCAAACTGGAAATAACTCAGCTTGCAGCTGGTAAATATATAAGAATTTCATGCCTAGAGGTCAGAAAAGTTGATAAAAAATTAAAGCAAGCCGATAAAATGATCATAATAAAGTCAATTAGCATCAAATTATATGGAGATGATATAAGCATTTTGTTAATTTCTAGTCTCTCATGGATGAGAATTCGTTGAACTAATGGAACGGTAGATTTCAAATTGTTGATAACTGAATGAAGATATCTATGCTAAGAAAGGCCTGATGATTATGAGAATTAGCTGAAAATACATTCTGTTCCTTAATGGGTATGGACACAGAGCAACAGCAGAAGAATTTTGAATAATGGATAACACAAATACTAATTTCTTTGGTATTTAATGAAACGTTACCGGTTAATTGAAGAAAAATAATAATAAAAAAAATATTCCAAATTTCGTTTAGAAGCAGTTCATATTTGTGGTTTGTTGTTTTAAAACGTTTTCAAACGTTTCAATGATAATGTGGCTAGCACAGATAAAGAAAAGTAAAGCAGACAATATTTTAATTGACATTATTGTTGCTAAACTGGCAATAATTCAGCTTGCAGCTCGTAAATATATGAGAATTTCATGCCTAAAGGTCAGAAAAGTTGGCACAAAATTAAAGCAAGCAGATAAAATAATCATTATACAGTCAATTAGCGTCAAATTATATAAAGACTATTTCAGCATTTTCTGGATTTCCAGTCTCTCATGCATGATAAATTGTTGAAGTAATGAACCAGTTGATTTCAAATTATTGATAACTGAAAATACTGATGGTAATACATGTCTGATGATTATGAGAATTAGCTAAAAATACACTCCATTTTTTAATCTGTATAGAAGCAGTTCATTTTTGTGTTGTTGTTTTCAAAATGTGTTGTTGACAATGTGTCTAAACTAGTTTAGAATCAGTTAAACTCTACATCGTTCCACTGTACAAACATTATGGCAAATATTTGAAAATATGTCGATTCAATTAAAAAATTTCCAAACTGTCAAACATAATTTATATAAACAGCAAATATAACTATTTTCGAAGTTTCTTGAAAAATACATTCATGATAAGTTATTAGCAATTCAATGTAATACTTTTCACTTTTTAGAGGATATTTTGACGTTTCAACTTGTATACTTGTCAATTCATTAATCATCCAATATATTTAGTTTAAACTTAATAGGAAAAATATTTAAACTATGRGAATATGAAATAACAAATAGTAAATTTTATATACAGGGTGTCGCAATAAGGATGGTAAGCGGCTGTATCCTGGAAARTACGGGTTGTAGAGTGATCAAAAAAAAATTGATGGCAAAGAAAATAATTTGCTGGAAATTATTTTCAAATTTCTCAGATGACCACTAGATGGCGTAATTGTCAACGGTATTTTAAAAAGTCGATTTTATAAAGAAATTCTCCCGATAAGTGAAACATCTAGTAATTTTAGTCAAAAAACCATAAAAAACCGTGTTACTTTCCTCATGAACTTTTTACCTAACTTGTCAAATAAAGGGTGGGGGGAGAGTCAAGCCGCTTAATTCAAAAAACCTATAACTCCGAAACGGCTTGACCGATTTCAAAGTTTTTACTATCAATTGAAAGAGCAATAAAAACTCTACAATATGTGATATAAAAACAATCTTAATCATTTTCGAAAAATCCACTGTTGAAAAAAAAATGTTTGTTTTAATTTTTCACAAATATTTCCAATGCCACCATCAGGTTATTTTGCACGCATTCGAAAGTACAGGAAAAACTGAACCAAACTGCAAAAACCGCATCTCAAAATAATTTCTGGAACCGATTTGATACTTGAAGATAATAAAAGTTGCCTAATTCAAATAATTAAACTATGTAGAAATTGTCCCTATAAGTGAAACATCTAGTAAGTTTGGAAATAGCGGCAAAAATGAAACAAACCACAAAAATCGCATTTCGAAATTACTTATTTCTAGAATTTATTTTTCAACAAAACAACTGAAGGTACTCATGTTAAAAGCAAGAAAAAAAATTAATAAGTTTACCTAGGTATAACGCTATGCTGTAGTTCCAAAATAAACATTAAGATAGTAAATGTTTAAAATGTTTTCTGTCATTGGTCACACACATATCTATCCTGCGGTTAGTGCCAAATACAGCACATTCAATTTCGGCTTGTGGAATGCTATGAATGGCATCTGTGATACGATCTATCATATTTGCCCGAGTTGTGGGAACAGTTTTGTAAACTATATCTTTTAATCTTCACCAAAGGTAAAAATCCAACACAGTTTGATCTGGAGATCTTGCTGGCCATGGGAATAGACTACCTCTTCCTATCCAGCGGCTGGGAAAAGTTCCATCTAAATGGTCGTGCACATTTCTTGAATAATGAGCAGGACATCTATCTTGCTGAAAGCACATGGTTCTCCTTGTCTCCAGTGAGACATTTTCTAAAAGTCCATTAAGTTCATTTATTAAAAAATGTAAATAATTATCTCCATTAAGACACTCGTAAACAAAAGGACCTATTATTTTGCTTTAAACAATGCCACACCAGACATTCACTTTCCACCTATTTTGGCCATCAACTTGTCTCAACCAGTGAGTTATGTAAGTTCACTGATCCAGTATTGCAAAAAGTGGCTTCATCAGTCTACAAAATGCGCGATAAAAACTGATTATTTTCTGTGTACATTTGCCTTGACCAGTTACAAAAATTTAATCGTGCATCATAATCCATCTCGGAAAGTACTTGATGCAAAGAAACGTGATATGGATGAAAGTTATTGTCACCTAAGGTGCGATGAATGGTGTCTTTTGTTACTCCAAGGTGTAAAGAAATTTGTCTTGTATTTAACTGCGGATTGACTTGTGCATACGCTAAAACATTAATAACGTATTTTCCTCAGTCCATGCCCTTTTTCTTCGTGAAGGACCACGTACGGCGTGGACACTACCAATTTCACGAAACCGTTTTGTTCGTCTCTCAACAAATCTCGTTCAGTCAAACATACATTTTCAGAAGATTTAAAATAAATTTTAAACATATCGTAAATTTTAGAAATGAAAAAATTAATTTTAGAGTGTAACTTACTGACAAATAATAATACAAAATGTCAAATAACGTAAAATATCATTTGTTCTATTTTTTCTTCCAAAGCCTACTTTAATTATTTGAATTAGGCAACCCTTATTATTTTCAAGTATTAAATCGGTTCCAGAAATTATTTTGAGATCCGGTTTTTGCCGTTTGGTTCATTATTTCCTGTGCTTTCAAATGCGTGTAAAATTACTTGATGGTAGCATTTGCTATTTTTCTGAAAAATTGAAACAAATCTATTTTTTCGAACAGCGAATTTTTCGAAAATGATTAAGATTGTTTTTATATCACATATAGTCAAGTTTTTATTGCCCTTTCAATTTATAGCAAAAACTTTGAAATCGGTCAAGCCGTTTCTGAGTTACTGGTGTCTTTGAATTAAGCGGTTTGACTCTATCCTCACCCTTTATTTGACAACTTAGGAAAAAAGTTCATCAGGTTTCTGCAAGTTTCTTATCGAATTTTGTTTCCAATCACTTTACCACACATATTTTCCAAGATACAGCCGCTTACCATCCTTATTGCGACACCCTGTATTTAATGAAATGATTGGTAATGTGTTCAACAATGTTCAACAATTTCCATTCATCTCTGTCATTCCATTTGGAAGAGATTTCACTATATTTAAAACATTATATACAATTCTTATTATTTGCCACGTTGTCGGCTGTTTATCGGCAAATTTAGTGTAGACCAGTGACTAGTAAAAAATAATTACTCAGTCATACCAATTGTTGATTGCTATTCTGATTTATGTTGTAGATATTGGTCATTAGAATTATAGAGGTTACTTCAATGAATCACTTTATTGATAGTTAGAAGAAAATATGATATGGGTAATAACATATTAATCCTCAGCATGTGAATAATTTTTATTTGCAAAGCTTCTTGCATTTACGTTTATATCTCCAGTCAGACACTAAAACAACAAGTTGTATCTTAAAGCTTAGAAACAATAACAATTCTAACAAATACGTTCTTGGCAAATGAATCCACGTCGCTCTGTACAAGGATAGTCATTCCATTCCCAGGTTCCTGGTTTCGAGTATGACAGAACTTCAATACAATCTTCATTATTGTTATAATTGTCTGGTTGTCCGTTTGCAAACGCTGAGAATACGACTGGTTTTCCTGTAGAGAACCATACGAAAGCATTCCCACCGTTCCCGAAGCGAGTCCCAGAAGTCCAAAAACCACGCTGATCTAAAATAAGTACTTTCAAGTCTCAAATACAACTTTTGAAGAGCTAATGTAAATAACTTATATGTATGGTGAGTTAGTGAGAAACACATTCCAGAATAGGGTATTACAGAATGATAATCTTTACAGGTGTAAGACAGTTCAAATTTGAAATAGATTTTCAATTTCCTGGGAATTTAGTTAGAACAGGCGTGAGCAACCTTTTAATCAACGGGCCAATTTAAGTTTAAAAATGTTTGGGCGGGCCGCAAGTAAAGTAACACTTATTAATAATTTACAAAATTTTATTTATAATAAACATTAGAATAAAAAAATATTGAATTAAAAAAAAAGTAAAGATTTAGAGCATAAATCGCGGGTGGGAGTTTACATTTCATGTGCTTTATAATGATTATACAGCGAGTATAAACCGAACATCTTTCACCTTTACTTAACCATGTACATTTTACAAAGCTGACTCTCGTCGATTGAAGTTTTCATGTTTACCAATTTAAAGGTTTTGAGAAGCCACGGCAAAGTTTTTCTAAATTTTCAAGCACCAATTTCCCCCAAATTCTATTCTATTTTTTAATATACTCGAGTGTTAGTCGATTCATAACACTTCATAGCCGAGCTTAAAAAATTCTTCTGTTCAGTTTGTTTAAGTTCAGTGGTTAGTAAACACTCCAAAATGACAAATCAACACCTGTAGCGAATATAAATGCAACTTAGAAACAGAACATCTTGCTGTACTCTCAAATCAATACTTTTCGTAAAAAAGTTGGTTAGTATGTTCTTAATGTTCTGTAACTTACTGATTTTTGAACTCAATAGCGCTTCAATTACAGCTGCAAATTCATCTGCAGAAGTGATTGAAACCAAATCCATTCCATTCTGTGCACAAAATACAAAAGCTTCTTTCCAGGTAGCTGGCGTCTTACTAACAAGATAACCGTCAGGTGTTCTGACAACTAAAAAAAAATTATAAGAATAAAAATTGAAAGATTTTGTTGCATTCAACTATTTGGAACTTAATTAATGATTTTCTAGGCATTATACATAAATTTAAAATATATTATATTTATACAGGCTGATTTCAAATTGGCGCCATTCCCTGGAGGTGTTGTCTGTCGGTGTTTTAGGAGTACAGAAAAATAGTAAAAAAAATAATTGTTATTAAAAACTGAAAAATTTGCAAAAACTGTATCAGAAAGACGGTAACAAAGTTTTGAAAGCAGAATTTTTTTTTCAAATTTCAAGCAGAAAATATATATTTTGAGCGATTTTGTATGTAGGAATGTATCCCGTATTTATTTGGTGCCTGGGAAAGTGTCAGTTGTTGTGCTGTGATTCCAATGTGCTAGCAATTAAACATGGAACAATTTTCAAAATAATGCTTTATAACAAAGTGGAAATTCGATTTTCAGCTGTTAATATGTTCAAGAAATTATTGAAAAATAATTTTCCATATTTTCCTCGTACTCTATAAGTGAGCCCCTATTACCTCTTAAGAGGAATGACGCCAATTTTGAACCACCTGTATAGTATTTAAAACTTGGTGTTTTATTGTAATGGAATTTTTGAAATAACTATCTACTTCTTCAATTAGTTCAAAATATTGTTGTTGTTGAAGCTTAATAATATGTATGTGGTCAATTAGCCAAACTTAGTAGTAAGTAGTCCATTATTACAAGTACTTTATGGCTCTGTTTACTCTAGGTCGGTTGCCCAAATTTATGATGCTATATGTCAATTTTGAAGAATCTGCTACAAAGCATTGGTTTTAAAAAGTCACTACTCACCTATTATATCTGGAGCAATTTTTTTTATCAGAATAAAAAGCTTGACATTTTGCAACAAAATTAGATAAGTGCTGGGTGATTTTCTGTAGACTATTTTCCTTTTCTTACATTGTGAAACTAGACTGAATTCGTTTGTTAATATTGATTTTCTTAATCTCGGCTTTTACTTGAGACTGAGTGACTTTATATCAGACTGTTATTGAATTCAGTCAATGATTGATGGGTATAACTAACTACTTTTTAATATTGCTAGTAACAATCGAGGCAACTTTCGATCGATTCATTTTGATTTTAACTGTGAGACTCACCTTGTCCCGCATTTCTACCACTGATAACACTTATACCACAAAGTAACAATATTAAACCAGTTTTCTGTGAAGCCATTCTAGCTAACTCTAACAATGTTAACTGCTAGCGACGTTTGTTGCAGTAACATTAATTTAAAGCACAGAAGGTTAAATAGCTTCTTGACACTTTCTGCTTCTGATAAACAAAGTATTTCGTCGGTTGATTGCCATATTTGAAACAAACACTCAAGATTAAAAATAGATCATATTCAGCAAAGTACAGTGGTAGGTGAAACTCACTACGCATTATTTCATTTTAGCAATCAGAAAAATGTGTTTTGTGTCAAAACGTTTTGTGTCCATTTGCGTGTTGAGAGTGAAAAATTAGCAAAACATTTACAATAATGTTTAACCAGAGCTTACCACAGCGCGTAGCAAGTAGAGGATATATATATGAAGATTAATAACTATCTAATTACTGATAACAGAGGTGAACATTACAATACTTTAGTCATGTCTAGTGGCTGATCCTGGTATATTTTGTAGGGAGTTTTGAAATTAACAAAGCGGTATATTTCTGGGACAACGTATGTTTCTTTGCGCAATTTATTCCTCTAGTTTACCATTGTTAGATAGTGTCCAGTCTATATCGGCTGAAAATGTGAAAACAAACGTATCTTGTTTCATTTATGTGATACGTGTACCTTTCGTTGTGGTAAAACTTGTAACACCAATTTGATGTTGTCTGTTCAAAAAGCTTTGCTTATAGTATTGTATCAAGATTTTAAACTTATATAGATGTTTAACATGTATGTCAATTCTTCATTTAGAATTGTAAAAACATTTTCATTTTAACTGAAAAAATAATATTCTTTGATAAGTTGTCCAAAAGAATATCAGGTAATAAGCTATCGCAAATCCAACTAATCAAATTACAATTTTGTAGTAGTACCTACGACAAAAGTGAAGAGGTATCACAGTACGTTCACCCAAAAGTACAAGGAACGTATATTAAATAACACTTATAATAAGGAGAGAAACCCTGCGGTAATAGAATCTCAACTCTAAAATATATTTGTGGTGGGGGGCAAAATGAAGAAATCGATTATAAATTCTTATATTGAAAGGCCAGAAAAGCTTTTGTTTCAAAAATAGAAAACGTATATACTATATAATAACCCTTTCAAATAAAACTGAGGATATAATCACATAATTATTCTTCTTATCTCGCTGTCTCCTTACGAAGGTTGACGATCCAAATGGCCAGTGTGGTTTTGGAAACAATTGCTTGGAAAATCGCTGTGGATGTGCGCCCAAACCACCTGCGGATGGCCTTCAGGCATGAATTCTGGCGTCTTCCGATGGATCTTTTTCCCTGAATCTTCCCTTCGATGATGAGTTTCAGGATTTAGCACATCAATCAAATAATTAATAAATGCAACGAAGCCTTGAAAGAAGTAAAACATATTTAATAAAAAATCATCTTAATGTTCATATTATATTCGTATTATAACATATAATTCTATGGAAAAATGCCACTATCACTTATCACTATTTGTCCAACATTACAACTAATTAAACAAAGTAAATACTTAGGTTTCAATTTAGTTTATACATACTAACTAAGATTAAAGTATAGTCATTCCTGATTTTTTTTACTTTTACATTTTTTCTTTCCCTTAATTTGTGATGAATGCTCTGGACCACAAAATAATTTTACATAATCTGTTTATAAGAATGATTGATAGCAGTAAAATAAAATTGAAACCTTGTTTTAGAAAAGGCGAGCTTAATATTACATGTATACTGAAAGTGATCAAAACTTGTTCATATTTGTCAAAGAATGACCGAGAAAAAAATTCATAAAAATGGAATATTGAAATTAGAAGATACCATTGTGAGCGTTGAAACTCATTACTGGTTTGATGTAATTAACTGCAATTTATGGACGTTGGCAACTCACAAAATATCGGTTTGTTTGTTTTTTCTCTTGTTTCTAGTATGTGCAATTATCTGTAGTCTTATCGTTATTGCTCTACAATAAGCTCATTTTCTTACAGTCTTTTGTTGTTGTTATCCAGAGCTGTTATCAATCAAGCATAATAAGTTCCTACTTTCTATTAAAATCCAATGTAAATGCCAGATCAGAAGTTTCTCTCCCATCAACATTTGTGTGCGTGAAAGTGGCAATAAATACTTTATTTTGATAACCGCTGCATCAAATTATTTCTCAATTTCTGATCAATAGCAATCTGTTAAAAACTCAAATACAAATATGTAACATTTTTGTTTAGTCAATTTTAATTACTCGAAATTTATTAAATATTAAGAGCAACCGCGTTATTCTTAAAAAATTCCTGGCGACTTCGAAGCGCCAAATAAAATGGAATATTTGGTTCGCAGTGATAATCAAAAATTAATAAAGCGCTTTCTGCTTCTTAACAAATGCGATAATAATCGTGTAATGTGTTCGTGAATTATTCGTGAAAACAGATCTGAAAATAAGTCGATTAAAGTGCCTTGGTGCAGTTTATCCTTTTAGTTGCTATTGTTCGAAACTATCCCAATGAAAATATTCCATTACCAATGGCTTTATATTAGTAATACTCCAAAAGCCTGATTTCAAGCGGATTTTGTATCGTATACACAATAATAAATCCCCTATTAAAACGTAATAACGATGCTCAGCTGCTTTATGTCGTAATAAAATTGAGGATGACTCTATCCAAATCTCTCGCGGTAATTGTGAATAACCCACTTTAATTTGATTAAGGCTAATGAAAATGAATCCTCAAGGAACCAAGATAAATATCTGTTTGATTAAAATTGGGACTGAATTGTACACCAATTAACTGTCTAATTGTTAAAATAATATATCATAATTACTGTCTTTATTGAGTTTTCCGTTTAAACTGCAAAAACACATTTTCACCGGGTAGAGGGAAGTGAGTAAGAATGCGATATTTATGTTTTTATATTTATTCAAGCTAAAAGGGTAGTTAATTATCGGAATTAAGCGCTTTTAAGCTACATAATTAGCTGTATTTAATGTGTAGTAAAGTAACATTAGTGCAATTTTTATCAACAGCCTTTTCAACTACATTTACTTCTACTACATACTAAGTTCACTTCGATCTTCGCACAATGCGTAACTTATAGAAGCAATTCCTTTTATGATTACTATTATTAGTTTTAAATATTTATCAGGATTTAGCTAGAATGAACACTAATTTGTCAATAATTTAATGTTTTTGAAACTACACATTATCTGGTTTATTACTTTCAACCCGCATACTGATTGCCAGCATGGTGCCTCACGCCCCATTTAAAATGTGCATCTTTATCAGTTTTTACAAAAGTAAGTACTGGGCCAGTTCCAACATGGTGAAACTGCCGTTTGCCTCTAGGTTCACTTGAAGCAGCATAATGATCTGCAAGTATTTAGTTTCATGGTAAATGGTAAATTTAAATGTGTAAGAGTACCTTTCAAATCCTGTCGAGCAGCAAATACGCAAATAATCATCGTGAGGAGGAACATGACCAATCCAAACTGAAAACACAAATTGTGCTGAATGCAACAAATAATTGTTATTTATTGAAATATAATTATTATTTTTTTGAAATAAGACGAAGAACTATCAGAACTTGTTCTAAATGGTTTTTCAAGAATAAGCTTTTGGAAGCTCTAATATACGTTTACACCAGTTTTCATCAAAAATACACAACCAGCCTTGAACTACTTCTAGCCGACTGTGTTTTCATTATATGAGAATATAAAAAAGAAACACTTACAGATTTGATGAATTCCATTCTAGCTTCAAAATCAATCTCCAATCTAAACAATAAATTATGTACAATTTCTTTACTGATGAAGTTTAGATATATATAACAGTTAGCGGGAACAAAAAATTGATCAGAGCTTTTTTTAGTTGGTCAGTTGGTTCTCGATTCTCTCCAATCTTATAACAAAGATTGAAAGCGCGGAATGAGTTTACCAGTAAATTTGTATTGTGCATTTAACTGTGGAAATCGGTGTTTTTAGGCCATTTGTGGTCAATTTGAAACGCATATTTCACTTTAAAATACAACACAGGTTTATTGCAGGTTGCTTAGTATTTGCCCTGAATTAATGTGTCTTATTCGATATTCTGGTTATTTTTGACGAGTAAAATTATTATTCAATGGTTCAACATTTTAATGAAAGAAAGTGTCTAAATCTTCGATTTTTGTTTTCAATATTTTTGCGAGCCGCTCCGATTTGTATGATTTTTTCCTTTTGATTATGAATGACAAATGCCCGCAGGCATCTTAATTAAGCGAGTAGATTTGCTCAGTTTGGTGGTTCTGTCGGTAAACACTTTTGGTCTTTCTGATGCAATTCGGTTCAAGGATCAATTTGTTTTGGGAAAAAGACAGGAAGTAGGTGGGTACACGCTCGATAAAATTAAATTTTTCTATTTTCATTATCACTGACAATATACATTTTACGCTTTAGTAACTTACGAAGTAAAATTATATAGCAGTTTATAAGCGTGATACTTAACGCGTTTTGAAAGTAAAAATAAACAATGAGAAGAAATACTCCAAATTGAAACGTCTGTATTAAGTTCTTCAAAAGTTGTTGAGACTTGCAATCTCAGTTATATTCCATTCAATATTGGCACTGGATCAAACATTTTGAGATGTTTTGCACAGACCGCCAAACTATATCTAAATTGTTACAAAGCCTTATTTAAAATTGCCTGATTCCTTTCAGCTTTGCCTTAACGGGACGTTTCGTAACAATTAAAATTCCGGAGTCGAAGTTTTTTTTGCTAAGTAAAGCTGAAAAATATGCCAAACAGGATAGTCGCGCGATGTGCCCTGCATATTATGAAGTAATAAAATAAATATAAATTATTACAAAAATTTTATTTAGTGTTCTCTTGCTGGGGTGGACAGTCAAATGCAACATTTCATTCCCAAACCGATTCGTTTGAAATTTGATTTTAACCGAATCACTTTTTAATTTATGTAATATATCGAGTAACGAAAAGGAGAACTAATACCGCCATATTTCAAGTGAAACAGGAAACTCTCATATGTTATCAATTTAATTTCCCATATTTCAGCCGAAAGTTACGTTCGCGCGAAAATATGGACTAGCCTAGCCGTTCGCCGGTAAATCTGGAAGCAAAAGACTTAAACTTGTAGTTCGTAAGTTAAAAATGACAAAAAACGTTTTATAGCAGCCGTTTAGGAACATCAATTTTCTTAAATCGATGTTCATAAAAATAGCGACAGTCTAACGACCACGTACGAGGGTCAACAAATAATAACGTTTAATTGATTCGACCACAAAATTTCCACCGATTTTATTTGATGCTTTTGGGGTGTTTTCCACAGAACCTATTTTGATAAATTTACATGTTTCAGTATCAATTAGCCAATATCGATTGAAAATAATCCCCTCTTCAAAATGCTGTAATCAAAATAATTAAGTAATCTGAATTTAGTTACTAAAAAGTTAAAAAGTTACTGTTACGTGAAACTTTCAGCCACGATAAGAAACCAATATTAAATCGCTGATTTTACCCTCAGATTTTCCCTGGTATTTTTCGGGTTTTTATCATCTTGGCCTATTTGATTTACTTGCTGGCCAAAAGTCGTGCTGACAACATAAAACAAGCGAAAAAGTGCTGGTAATGGTCGCCTATGGCGTTTATATGAGAGGTTCATACTTCTTGAAGATAAATGAAATCAACTTTGTTTTCCTCAAATATATGAAAGGGACCGGCGACTGGGGCGTTTTTTTATTATTGAGTCGTAAAATACGGTGAGTGATAAAGGCCGATGTTCTTGGCAATGTAGTTGGACAGAAGCTGAGTTGTGAAGTGGAAAATTGATTTATTTATTTTAGTCAGGACTTTCAAAGTTTTGGTGCATTTTGGGATCAATTTCTTATATTTGTTATCGTTAAATATTTACCTGAGAAAATTGATTATTCTGTATACTTTTATATTGATAATTTAAATTTTGTTCATTATTATATTGGTGATTCTTATATACTTATACGGTTTAGATCGTACCTCCCTGTTTTGCAATTACAGTTTATTATATTTTAGCAGAACTAGGTTGATTTTTTTAAAACCAGCAAGCGATGGTTCTAGAAGCTTGTTTAGACAACGTTAATTTAGAAGTCGAAGTGCTGATAGACAGTTAATTGAAAATGTGCTTTAAAGTTTTAAATTTAAACAAAAATAAAAAAAAAATCGGTAGTTACCGATTCGCTGTTTGCAAAAATATGTTAAAGTACCTCAAAAAATAATTATTGCAAAATTTTACGAGATTTTATGATGACTCAAATCCACATTTCAGCTTTGGTACTTGACTGCATATAAATACCATATTCTGTGGAAAATCGTTTTATAGTGGCTCCTCAAAAGTTCGCTATGTAAAGAAATTTAAGAGCCATTCGAAAATTAACAGGATGATTATTCGCGAAAAGAGCAGTAAAGCTCGGCATTTTTAATATAGCTCCTTCACAATGCCTCGAAAGCAAACATACGCCCGAAAGGACCCCTTTTTATTTGTATTCTTTACTCACCAAATCGTCCGTAATTATTCGCTTCAGGCAGAGTATTCTATCCTTTCTGGGGGACTTTCTCCCTTTTTAATGCA